AACACTTATGAACGCCTATAAGCGATAAGAAACAATGATTTCGCCTCCCTTTATCACGCCATCCGTTCAAACAAAACGAAATGAAGGGTTTGGATTGGCTGGAAACCCTGCACGCGAAAGGGTGTGCTTTGCTCAAATGCTTCAAACCTAGAAAAGTTTCCCTTGACCCCTCCTCCCGCTTCCTCTGCTCTGCGAGCCTCCACTCTCTCTCATTCGCCCTCTTCTCTCCTATGCCCTCTCTCTCATTCACCCTCTCTCCTCTATGCAAAGCCCATGCAGATCTGGAGATAACTTATCCTCACTCTGTGAAGCTTGCTGCAACAGATGCCACCCTCTACGAAGCTTGCTGCAACAAACGCCACCCTCTGCGAATCTTATTGCAACAGACGCCACCCCCTCCTCTTGCAATTGACGACACCCCTCCTCTATTTAAGGCACCAATCCGGGTTAGTGATATCGTATCATCTCGAATTTTTTGCTGGAACCCAACCCATAATCTTTGAATATACTCCAACCCAAATAAAGAAGAAAACCCAATTTTTTTCCAAAACGAGATTTATAAATAAAACCCTATGATTTACAATGCTATGCATCAAATTCATGAAATATTTTTATAGTGAGTATTTTTCAATGGAAAACTATCTATTGTGGAAAACCTAATTTTTTTCCAAAGCCCAAAGCAAAAACCTACGTTTTTTTCCCCAATAAATCATCGAATTCTTACTTCAAAACTCAAATTTCCTAATAAATCACAGAATGAATCGCCAAATTATTACTCAAAAATCACCGGTCTAGCCCATCATATGAGAGCACAATTCTAATCATTGGAGTAAAAGGGTTTTATTTACAGTGATCCACCCACTGTGAGTCACAGTAAATAAAAAATTTTAGTTCCTTTCTCTTCTTTTATTGCTCCTTTTTCTTCTCAGTTCTAAAGTGATTATAGAGCAAAAATTTGGATTTCTTTCTTATTTTTCTTTTGCAGATCGATTGCACTTATTTTTTTTTTGTAACTTTTGCTAATACTAGGAATTAATGTGCAAAAATTATTTATAGAAAAAATGAATATTCAAAGAAATCATGTTTTTACAATTTGATGTGGAGAATCGATGTGGAATGTTTGTGATTTTAAGATTTACCCCAAGACATTGAGTTTTTTATGTTGAGGGCTTTTGAATTTGTAGCAGGTGAAAATATGGGCAAATGGCATGCAGGTGTATTGAGAAAGAAAGGGCTTTTGGGCTGTTGTCATTACCCTTTCTCAAAGTACCATAGAGATGTATTGTTAATCATGCTTGATAAAAAGCAGTGAGCCTTTTTCTTCATTTAACTGATAAAAGCAAGATGTTCAAGATGTGTTTCCTTTAGATGTTGGCGAGGTTTGAAAAATTCAAACTTCACACCAAAATTTTGCCTTAAACTTGTTCCTTGTGATTTTTTTTTCTTTTCCTCAAGTAGATGTTTTCATTCAGTAAATGGGTACCAATCACATTCTTGGTTGAATTTCAGGCTAGACTTCTGAAATAAAGTCACAGATTAAAAATGATTTGTTTTAAGTTCTACTTGGATTATAATTATTCGCTGGCAAAAGTATGGCAATGAAATTATCCTCATCACCATCTAAACTGGAAAAAAATATTAAAATTCAAACACTATCGGGTAGGAGCAGACTCAACACTTTACTCTCGGTAATTAAGCAAACCAAGTAAAGTTGATGCTCAACAAGCCTAAAAATTTAAAACTTAGCAAATTCATAAGAAAAAATGTTTCATTACATTACATTATATCCCAAAAGTAGTACAATAGAGTTTGGGGTTCTAGGGCCCCGACTTACATACTTCAAAGAAAGCAGTACAAATAGGGCTTAGAGCCCAGCTACATACAAGACAAAAAAAAAATCCTTCTCTGAATGGCCGCTTCGATCTTTAGTTGCAACCCGTACTCCCAACTCTGAACCTGTCACTTTCATTCTACAAGGAAGAAAAATAATGGAATGAGCTTTGAAGCTCAGTAAGCATATCTAGTGTTATACTTTGGTAACAAGTCTACCCATGTGCAATAAACAGTTTACTAGACCATATTAGTGGCAGTGCAGTAGTCACGTATAATGGTCATCAGATCAGTACATCAATTATAAACAGGATATCCAAGCAACAGTACATCAATTATAGACAATATCATATAGTTATTACGACCACAGGAAATCACAGTCACAATTCATTTGTTACACACTCACTCCCTAGTTCACCTACTCCAGCTTGTAGAAGTCATATCCATTAGGCCAAGTCAAACATATTGCTTAGGACTTCTACCATCCCACAGGAGGAAGGGTAATGACAAGTAGGGTTGTCCGCTTTATAATATCTTCAACTCACACACACGGTCCCCAGCGTGCATTGGGATTCTATGGGCTTTTACCTTGCAAGGCATCAATAAATCATATATATCGTCTCATGAATAATAGGGAGCGACCATCATTTCTCCCCTAACCAGTTCCTGTCATTGTACAGGTTAGGGAACATGCTGGCATTACTGTCTCAGTGCATCAGTCTCCACTACCGATAAGTGACCCATTGCATGGTGGCCAGTATCTAAAAACAATGGCTATTCTCATATTGATATAACAGAGCAATGTTTACTACTAATGGGTGTCCCATTGCGTAGTGGTCATCATTAGGGCCTCATCTCTTGCTCGAGCATCTATGCATTCATGCCAATTCAACGCTTCATAACAGATAAATGACATTCTCATCATATCAGTATGGCAATTAACATGAAACATTCATTAAATGAATCGTAGCATAACATTTACTCATAGATATCATCAACGAAATTTTGGTACCTATAGTGAAATTTTCATCATGAAATAATCACGTCAATATGGTGCTCATCACTTTTCACATAGTACATGGTTGTACAACATCTTTCACATAACCTTGTGGCATATGCATGGCAATTATCATATAGCATTCATACTTGTCACTTGTCACAAAAATTTTAATACTTCAATTAATATGTAGATGAGAGAATTTCAATATTTCACTTGTCACGGAAATCGGACGTCATTAGTTTGGTCAAAAATTTAGTTCTAAACAAATAATAGTTGCTGAAACGCTGTGACACACTCACGCATTTTGGGGTATAACTCAAAATTTATGGGAAGTTTCGAAAATCTCAAAGCACGTAACTTTAAGTCTATTCACAGGGCTTTCCAACGATGGCATTTCGAGGACATTTGGACTTCGTTTGTCAGGCCAAGAGTGCGGCCCAAAAAGAGTCACAGGTGATGGAATTTACAGCGACTGTGAGCAGTGACATGTCTCGTGCTTTGGGCCATATCTTTTGATCCATGTAACATTTTATTATGATACAAAAGGCAAACTTTAACTAGACATGTATATCTTCCATTTAAAACCGATTTAAGCCCATTCGGGCACTGTTTAGTTAGCGAAAAGCACAGGGCAAAAGCCCATACAGTTGCTGGAAAATCCTCGTCCCTCAAGCATTAACATGCCATCACCATATTATAAACCATCTTATGGATTGACTTTAAGTCATAATTTTAGTCTTAATCATATCAAGCAAACTTGTAAATTTGTCAAGGAAATAACTCTATAATTTTTCCAAAATTCATTGGTCATGTTCAAACATTATTCCACTTCATTTTTTGTCCACTCTACATTCGTTCATTATATCGGTCCTATCCCATTCAAGTGAATCTAGGGGAGGTATAACACTAAATCCACTTACCTAAAGGTCACAGCGCCCCCTAAACTTCCTTGCGCAGGTCGCCCCTTACTCCCCTATAGCAGCCTCACTCCTAAGCCTTCACGTGCAGGTCACCCCTTGCTCCAGTCGGCAGCCTCCCAACAGCAGCAGCACAAGGCTCTCTAAAAAGAGAAAGTTTGAGGGAAACAACGATGAGGGTGAGGAGGGGCACGATTTATAGGCGCATGGGTAGGTGAGGGTAACTGTGACTGATGTCGCTGGGTGGTTGAGAAAAGAGTTGTAGCTGGCGTCACTCGCGCAGCACTGATAGGTACAGCGTGACGCTGACACTGCTGACGGTTGCACACTTTACCATCCGCACACGGCGTTACTCCAGGCGGTGATGCTCTTGACGGCAACATGGTTGCGGCGATGCTCTAGATGACGATACGCTCGCGGCGATGCTCCAGATGCTGATACACTCGTGGCGATAGTCCAGATGGCAATACACGCTCGCGACAATGCTCCAGACGGCGATACGCTCGCAGCGATGCTCCAGACGGTGATATGCTCATGGCGGTGCTTCAGGCAGTGATACGCAGTCGTGGCGATGCTCCAGACGGCGATACGTGCATGGCGATGCTCCAAACGGCGATGCCCCAAGTCGATGGGTGGTGTTGCTTCAACCGGCGATGCTTGATTTTCTCTTTCTCTCCTCACTCATGGTGCTAGGCCTCCTCATGTGCTCGATGTTACTCTTCCTTCCGCCGACGGTGGTGTGCAGACGGTGTTACGCTATTTCATGCGCGACGTCTCACGAATAGTGTTGCTTCTCTTCACCCTCGGCGTTACGTATCCCGCCTTTCATGCGCGGTGCTAGCCCAGGCGGCGTTACTCTAAACGGTGATGCCTCCATTCATGCGCGGCGTTAGTCTAGCCTACGCACGACGTCGACCCTTATACCTGCAGCAATACCCTCATTTGAACGCAGCATTGCCTCCATGTTACATGGACAGTACTAGGCCAAATCACACGGACGGCGCTATCTTTCGCCCTTAGCGCCGGGCATGCGTTCTTGTCTCTTACGGCTTCCTTCTCTCTCCTACCACAAGTGATCAGGCTCAATTGAATTGTGGCCCTCACAAAGATATTATATATATATATATATATATATATATATATATGCATATTTAATTTCACAACCCTTACAAATTAGAGAGAGTTGTGAAGGGTGGATTTATTACTTTTGTAAGTCTAT